TCCATGATTGCCTTTGTAGGGAGAAAAATGCACACATGCATGGGCTCAAAGCAAAAAATCTGGAAGGACATTTTGATGGTCCCCAAGTCATAATACTTATATTTATCAGGGTTTTCACTTTACAATGGTGCAAAAGTGATATACATTCAGTAGAAACTGTGTGTTGAATTTTTATGTTTTTCAGGTTAGTGATAGTCAGTGGGGTATTTTTTTAGCGATTCTGGGCAGCAGCAGTGAGCCTTGTTGCCCAGTTTGCCATGTAATCGTGGCAGTGAACAACTGGTGCTCTACAGTGTACGGTCTTGCTAAACTATGATGTTTAGCAATTAGGTAATTGAATACATTTTCAACTTCTGAGGGCTTACCAGGCAGGGTGCAACCCCATCGTAAGTTGAGTAGCATCTGTACTAGTAGTGATGGCTGTGATAATTGGTGTGGCTTTAAACTTTCTAAGAAAGCCGGGGTTTTTAAATTTCTAGTTACCACAGGATCCACTAACTCAATCAGGTAATAAGAAATAAACACTTAAATTATCAGGCTGGAATGTACTTCTTCAATAATCAATAAACTAAATTCAAGGTATTAGCTTTCTTTCCTCTTGTCTCTCCTTTAAATCTAATTGGACATTTGATCTCATATTGGTGTCTAAAGATTAACTCTGGTCAACATGGAAGATGACCTCTGAAAATCCTCACAAGACTTTGTTTTTAGCCTATACCAGATCAATTTAACATAGCAAATCTTAAATGCTTTGGGGTAAGGAAACAAAATCTGAGCAGCAGTAGAATCAGTGAGCAAACAAAAGTTGAGAAAAAAAAAGGGCTAGAAAATACAGGGTTACTCATACACTGCTGGTGGGACTGCAAATTGGTGCAGCCAATATGGAAAGCAGTATGGAGATTCCTCAGAAAACTTGGAGTGGAACCGCCATTTGACCCAGCTATCCCTCTCCTTGGTCTATACCCAAAGGACTTAAAAACAGCATACTACAGGGACACAGTCACATCAATGTTTATAGCAGCACAATTCACAATAGCTAAACTGTGGAACTAACCTAGATGCTCTTCAATAGATGAATGGATAAAAAAAAATGTGGTATATATACACAATGGAATATTACTCAGCAATAAAAGAGAATAAAATCATGGCATTTGCAGGTAAATGGATAGAGTTAGAGAAGATAATGTTAAGTGAAGTTAGCCAATCTCAAAAAACCAAATGCTAAATGTTTTCTTTTGATATAAGGAGGCTGATTCATAATGGGATAGGGAGGGGAAGCATGGGAGGAATAGACAATTCTAGATAGGGCAGAGGGGTGGGAGGGGGAGGGAGGGGGCAAAGGATTACAAATGATGGTGGAATGTGATGGACATTATTATCAAAAGTACATGTATAAAGACACAATTGGTGTGAATATACTTTGTATACAACCAGAGATACCAAAAATTGTGCTCTATTTGTGTATTAAGAATTGTAAAGCATTCTGCTGTCATATATAAATTTTAAAAATCAATTAAAAATGAAAAAAAATACAGGGTTAGAAGAATTTTTGTTGCCATAGCCAATGTTTAATAACTATGAATAAATGGGCTAGATTTTGATATCATATTGAAAAAAAATTATGTTGCTTTGTCAAATTAGTGGAAAAAAAGGGTGGACTATGTAACAAACTGTTGAGACAAATGATTAAAAACATGGACAAGTGTAGTTAAATCATAACCTTATATTTTAAAGAAAAATAACTTATATATGAATAAAATTTTTAAAATATGACACGAAAAGTACTAAAGAAAATCTCAGTCGATAGTCATGAATGAACTCAAAGTTACAGGTACCAACCAAAGATTGAGAGAGACTTATATGTACTTAAAATATATATTTTTATATTTATATTTTCATTTATATTTAAAATATTGGTTGTCAAAAAATAAATTATAAATTGTGTGAAAATATTTGTAACATATGACAAAAGGGTTAATATTTTTAACTTTAGAAAGCATTTTTATAAATTAATGAGAAATGTTGATGATCCCAATATAAAAGTGTAACAAGATTAAAAGTCCACAGTTCACAAAACAGTAAACATAAACATAATTTTCAAGTCGGGCATGGTTGCACACACCTGTAATCTGAGCAACTTGGGAGCCTGAGGCAGGAGGATTTCGAGTTTAAGGCCAGCCTCAGCCATTGGGTGAGGCACTAAGCAATTCGAGACCCTCTCTCTAAATAAAATACAAAAGAGGCCTGGAGATGTGGCCAGTGGTTAAGTGCCCCTGGGTTCAATCCTCTGGTACCAATAATAATAATAATAATTTTCAACCTCACCAGTAACCAGAGAACATTAAAGCCACACCTGATACATCATTTTGTACCTACCATATTGGCAACAAAACAAAACATGTCTTCACTCTCTGAAGGACAGTTACCAATACTCCCCCGAAAAGAATCTTTTGCACGCAGGCTGCTATGGCTTGAACATCCATGTCCCCTCCAAGATTCAAGGGAAATTTAATTTCTAATGCCACAGTACCAAGTGGTGAGGCCTTTAGGTGGAGCTCTTAAGTATGGGATTGGTTATCCTTATATAAGAACTTGATGGAGACTATTTGCCTCTTTTTCTGCCCCTTTTGTCTCTTCCACCATGTGAGGACACTGTTCCATCCCTCCAGAGGATAAAGCAACAAGGTGCCATCTTGGAAGCAGAAACTGGACTCTTACCAGACACTGAGACTCCCGACTCCTTGATCTGGACTGCCTAGCTGCTAGAACTGTGAGATATGTTTCTCTTCTTTATACATTACCCATTTCAAGGTATTTTGGCACAGAAGCACAAATGGGCCAATTAATCAAAAAACTTCCCTTTGGAGATTTTTTTTTTTTTCTCAATTAACAATGAGTGAAGCTTTATAAGTAAGGATAGTCATTGCAGCACTGTTCAAACCAGGAAAAACAAACTATCTGTCCAAGAGAGGGATTGCCTAAGAAATAAATTTGCTGACTACTGATATTCTTTTTTTATATTTATTTTTTAGTTGTAGTTGGACACAACACTTTTATTTTTATTTATTTATTTATTTTTATGTAGTGCTGAGGATCGAACCCAGGGCCTCGCACCCACTAAGCAAGCACTCTACCGCTGAGCCCCAGCCCCAGCCCTGACTACTAATATTCTTATAGAAGAATATTGATGTGGACTATACACATGTACATGAATATTTACGTAAACATGTAAACATGTAAATACATATATTTATAGGGAAAGGAAGTCTTAAATCAGACAAAAGGAGTGGGGAAGACCAACTTCATTCTTTTCCTTATTGAGTCCAGAACTCAGGAACTCTCCTGACCCTGGGTTCTTTCTGCTTTTCCTTCAAGGGCCCCCCCAGTTTCAATTAAGGGTCTCAACATCTACAAGCTTTTTGAACCAGCACCTGAGCTTTGACCCTCCTCTTCCTCTTCAGTCCACAGCCAGTCAATCACTATCCGTTCTACATCTGAACTGCCACTCAAATCCATGCACCTACGCATTTTCACTGTCACTATCCGAGTCCAATTCATCTCCACTATTAAGAGTCCCTGATCTTCTCTCTGCCAGAGCAATCTTGGTAAACATGAAACTACTTAATTGTCCCCTTTGCATGAACACAAGACTTGTCTTCCCTGACCCTTAAGATATTAAGTTCAACTCCTCTTTTCAATGTTCTCCGTAATCTGGTCTCATCACATATGATAGTCCTTCCTGTCCCTATTCAAGCCATGTCCAGCAACACTCAACTTCTGTTCCCGGAATGCACAGTGCTCTGTCTTAGGGGAGTCTCGCTGCCTTCCACCTTTGCCTGGTCAACACCTTTTCATTTATTGGAATCCCAGCTGAAGTCCTTTCCCCTCCGGTAGAAACTTCCCTAACCCTGAGTACCCTCTACTTTCCCTCTTCAACCCAAGTCCTAGATGGCTCATCTGTCTTCCCCTCTCAAATCTGACCTTCAGGTCAGGAGTTGTGTTTCTCTTATTGATCAGTGTCCCCAGTGACTAGGAAAAAAAATGGCTGCCATTTAATAATATTCGATATGTATTGAATTGAATTCACTTGGCTCTCCTGTTTACATTTTTTCCTTCTCTTCCTTCTTTTCTTCCTTACTTTTCTTTATTTCTTTCCCCCTCTTAGGTCATGATGGCCAACACTACCTAACCCCTTTGGTGTGGGCTGTGTGTGTGTGTAGTGGCTAGAGATGTAATGAAGTTGACGTAGTCCCTACTATAGTTGAAAGTCCTTGTTATAACTTGGAAAGCCAACAATTCCATTTGAAAATTATGGGCTTGCACTGGGTGTGTATACTAATAAAAGACTGTGGGACTTTAATGGCATAGATTAAAAAATATAAAAACACATCCTTTATTCCAGCCAAGGCAAGATTGGCAACTTAAAACCAAGTAGAATGGCAACGTCTTGTGGTGTGTGTGTGTGTGTGTGTGTGTGTGTGTGTGTTGGTACCAGGGATTGAACCCAGGGACACTTAAACACTGAGCCATATCCCCAGCCCTTTTTTTGTATTTTATTCAGAGGCAAGGTCTTGCTGAGTTGCTCAGGCTGGCTTTGAACTCCTTTGATCCTCCTGCTTCAGCCTCCTGAGCTGCTGGGATTACAGGCCTGTGCCACCATGCCCAGCCCCCTTTTTAAAGATTCCACTATTTAAATTTCATGAAAAAGATTTGTAAAGACACTAGATTAAAATCTCCCCACCCCCCAGGCCAGTAACAATGCCTTAGAGCTCAGTGTCAATCCTCTGCCTTTGGCTAATGGGTGAGCCCCTCCCATGGAGCCAATTCCGTGAGAACGACTGCATCTCTAATATAATATTCTCTCTTTCTCTAAAAAGCCAGTTATTTGGACATTCTAGAAAGAGGGCAAAGCATTTTCACTGACTTCCCTGACTCTTGCTGTTTCCTGTAAAATCCTACCTTAACCCCTGTCTCTTACAGAACCATCAGGTTGAGCTTACCCTCTGCTGCAGATTATTTCTAGGGCTTCCAAGTTCCCGTGGTAGGCTGCCAGGAGAGTGGGAGTCATTCCATCTTCATCAGAAAGATTCAGATCTCGCTTGGTAGCCTCCTTCAGAAGTTCCAGGTAGCTATCACTAGCAGCTTGGTGGTAGCGAGTGGACATTTTTTTCCTGCTCACCGAGGCTTGGCTGAATATTTCTCTTCAGGCAAAGCTGAATGTTGGCACAGTGACTGTCCTATAGGGCTGGTTAATCAGTGATAAGGAGTGTTATGCTAGGACAAAGTTCATCCCAGCCCCTCTCCTTGGAAGGCAGCCAGAAAGATTTGCAGCACTGAACTTGGACCTTTTCCTTCTGGAATGATCATGACATTGAATATTGAAGTCCGCTCTATTCATCTTGAGGGCTTTTAGGAATGTTTAATTTTTGCCATGTCCATTACAAGTCTTAATGATACTGGTTATCTTAACACAGAATGTAAAGAAATAATTTCCAAAATATTCAGAACTAGTCTAGTTGACTGGGGTAGTCTTTTTAATAGTTGTATTGAGGTATATAGTTGGTACGCTTTGAAATTTACCCATTTGATGTATATACTCCAATGATTCTTAGCAAATTTTACCAAGCTTTGCAACCATTACCATAATTCAAGTTTAGAACATTTTCATCATGCTAAGAATATCCCACATGTTCATTTGCCACCCATCTTAATTCCCACTCCCAATGCTAGGAAACCACTAATCTTTTTCCTCTCTATGTATATTTGCTTTTTATGAGCATTTCATAAAAATATAATCATAAAATATATAGTCTTGCATCTAGCTTTTTTCCAAAGGATAAATTTTGAAGTTTATCTTTTTATTGCTAAATAATATTCCATCATGCTAACCTATCAAATATTCTTCGTTCATTCAATGTTTAATGAACACTGGGATGTTCTCCTTTCTTTGGCAATTATACAAAAAAAAAGTTACTATCAATATTTACATATGAGTTTCTGTACAGATTTATATTTTTACATCTCAAGTATATGCCAAGGAGCAGAATGTTTGCTGGGTTATATAGTAATTTATATTTAACTTTTAGAAAATACCAAACCAAACTAATGTTCTGTAGTAAAGTAAGATAACTATGGTTGACAGCAATTAATGGCATATTTCAAAATAGTTAGTAGAGAGGATTTTGAATGTTCCCAACAAAACGAAGTGATAAATGTCTGAGGTGACAGATGTGTCAATTACCCTGATTTGATTGGATTTATACTAAAGTTTCACTCTATACACCATAAATGTGTAAAACTACTACACTAATTATGTTACATTTGTGTTAAAAATAAAATACAGTAAAAAAAAAGTTGCTGAATTGTTTCCCAAAGTGACTGTACCATGTCACATTGCCTCCAGCAATGTATGAACGTCCCAATTTTTCCAAATCCTTGCCAGTCTTTGTTACTGTCCATCTTTTTGTTTATATTCATCCCAGTAGGTATGAAAGGTATCATGTGGCTTTAATTGACATTGCCCAAGTGAACACCTTTCATGTGCTTATTAGACATTCTTACATTTTCCATGCAAATCTTTTCCCCATTTTTTTTCCATTGGGTTGTCTTTTTACTAATGAATTATAAGAATTCTTTATGTATTCTGGACAAAAGTCTTTTGTCCAATATTTGGAACAAAGAGCTGGACACAGTTCTCATGCCTGTAATCCCAGCTACTCAGAAGTCTGAGGTAGGAGGGTTGCAAGTTTGAGGCCAGGCTGCTCAACTTTAGGAGATCCTGTTATTTTAAAAAATGAATTCTAGATAGGGCAGAAGGGTGGGAGGTAAAGGGAGGGGGCAGGGGATTAGCAAAGATGGTGGAATGTGATAGACATCATCATCCAAAGTATATGTATGAAGACACAAATTGGTGTCAACATACTTTATATTACAACCAGAGATAGGAAAAATTGTGCTATATACATGTAATAAGAATTATAATGCATTCCACTATCATTTATTTTTAAAAAATTAATAAAAAATAAAAACAAACAAATAAATAAAGGCTGGGGTATAGCTCAGTGGTAAAGCACCCCTGGGTTCAGTCCCCCCAATATGGAGGGGAAAAATACACATCCAGATTTATAGGATAAAGTTTAAATTACTTAAGGGGAAATTCATAGGTTTTTATTAGAAAAGAAAAAAAGGTTTTAAATCATTAAGTCGAATTTCCACTTGAGGGAAGGTGGAAAAGTATGGGAAAAAAATTAACATAAATAAGGAGTACAATAGAACACTCAGAAAATCCAAATCTATCTGTAATCAACATAAAATTAAATGAGTTAAATTCACCATTTAAAAGAGTCAATGTGTTTTATTTATAATAGACACATTTAAAAATATAAAATTGCAGAAAGACTGAAAGAAAAAAAAGCAAAAGTTCTATTAAGCAGACAGAAAATTGGTGTAGCTACATTTATATCACACAAAATATAATTCAAGCCAAAAAATTACTAGAGATGAAAGAGAAAATATATCAAAATGAAAAGAAAAATTAATTTTAAAATGATTGTCCTAAACTTATGTATACCAAATAATATTGCCCTACAATAGATAAAACCAAAATTAAATAGGATTTAAGAGAAAAAAACAATACATAATCATCATGGGAGATTATAACACATGTCCTTAGTGTTACTGATCAGATTAAATATTAGTAAAGATATAAACCATTTGAACATAATTAACAAGCTTGGTATTAAATTATACATAAAACCCTGCAATCAACCAAAAACTGCATGTTCTTTTCAAGCACACAGGAAATATTTATAACAATTGACTCTCATATAGAATCAATGCAGGTCTCAACAAATACAAATAACAGGTTCCAAGCCTAAGTGTGCAAGAAAATTAAAATCTATCACCTTTACGTAACTGAGAACTTGCAGTATACTTTTATGTCATTTTTAACATTACATACCATTTGCATTATGTATTTTCCTGTCTTTAACCTGCCATAAATATCTTCCCATGTTGTTACAAAATCTTTAGTATTTTGGAGAATAGTCCAGGAAAGTGATATGATGTTTATTCCTCTTAACTCTTTTTGTCCATCTGTATCTCAAAATAAATTATTTGCCTACTTGGTAAAAGTACAGAGCTTTCATCTCCAGAATCCCTACAATAATTAATTAGCTCCAAGGGTCATTGTTATTTTTTTCTGGTTTCTATGTGAACAACAGAAGCTGTAGGAAGTTGCCTGAAGGACAGCATTAGTTAGCCATAAAAAAAAATTGCTTTTAGCCCAGAGAGAATGATATATTCACATGTTTGTGAACACTTTGAGAAAAAGGAAAGATTATTTCTCAATTCACTTTTTGCATAAGATCTTTAGACACAACTGGATTAATTAGTGCAGTATGATAGAGAAAAATATACATATCCAGGGAAAGGGCTTCTGAAAGATAAATTATTCGTGGTACAGTCCTATGTGTCAATCAATTAAGGATTCTGCTGTCAGAGGATGATAAAGAGGAGGAGAATAATGAGGGTGAGGATGAAGGCAGATGATTAAATGGACAGAGCAATTATAGAGAAAAAGAGGACTGGAGAAGGAGGATGAGGAAGAGTATCTTGGCTTTAGTGGTTCTTATGACTTGGACTTAAACCCACCTATGAAATGATAAAATATCTGAGCCAGGCATGGTGGTGCTTGCCTATAATCCCAGATATGGGGGAGACTGAGGCAGGAGGATGGCAAGTTCGAGGCTAGTCTCACCAACTAACTTAGTGACACTCCGTCTAAAAGTAAAAAATAAAAAGGTTTGAGGAGGTGGCTCAGTGGTAGGGCATTCCTGGTTCAATCTTCAGCAGTAAGAAAAAAGAAAGAGGAGGAGAGAGGGAAGAAAGATAAAACAACTGAATTTTTTTAAGTGGTAAAGATCCCAGAACCCTCTGACATTTCCTTAGGAAACTTCTTCCCTGGGAGAAAAATAAGTGATGAAGAAAAAGAAAAGCAGAAGCAACTCATTCTGAACTTGAATATCCTTCATACCTCACCCCTTCAAGGTGAGGCTGAGAAAGAAGGTTGTGCTCAGAGCTAGAAGACCTGGGGTCCCTAAGATCTAGGGAAAGTGGTTCCATCTGGTTGAGCCTCAGTTTCCTTGTGGGTGAAACTGGGAGATGTTGCTAATGATCACAAATATCACCATCAACTAACTTTACAGTAGTAAAGATGAAGCAAGATAAAATTCCCTACAAACTATAAAGTACAGTTTTACAACTATAAGAAGTTGTGTGATTGTGATAGGTCTATTTTCTTATTCCCCAAAGCCCAAAGGAAACAAAATTCCTGAGAAATAGTGAGAGCAGAAGTTAATGAAAAGAATGTAGATGTGCATATAATTTAGACACCAAGTCCTTCTGGGGAGTCTTCTAGTCAGTGGGGGATATTATGGATTTTTACTATGTTTTGAACTTACTGCTCTCATGGAAATTAATATTTGAGGATGTAGCAACAGTATACTGCTGGCCTCTTTCAAGGTCAAGAATATTTGCCCTACACATGGCAGAGACTTGGAGGGTCAGACCCGAGTGGCGGTAACCTTATTCATGGCCCTCAACCTGTCCTGTTGGAGCCAAGCCGCGCCCCTACACCTCTCCACCCTCCTCCACTAGTATAACCCAGCTTTAAGAAACATCCGGCAGTGACTTGTGTGTCCTCTGGGCTGTCACTTAGGTTCACAGGGGTAGCTTTTATTTTGTCATTCATTTCCCTAAAGTTCTAGAAACTCAACTCAATCTATTATCTGGCATTTGGAGTATTTAATTCTCAAATTTCATTTTGAGAATCCCTTCTACCCAGACAGCTCTTACTTTTGACCAGAGAAAACAACTGGTAGAAAACAACTACCGCAGGGGCAGCACAGAAGAGATCCTCCCACCAATGGATGCTCTGCTCCTCTCAGAACAATGACATAGTCTACTGTTCCATGTTGAGTTTATAGTTTTGCAGTAGCTACTAACAGCCAGGTAAACTAGAGAGGTATTCCATCAACCACAGGGTCCAATGCTGGCCAGGAAGAATTTACCTAGGATTCTGACTATCTGTCACACAGAGTCTGGTGGGGTTCCTTTGCTCCTGGAGAGGGGAAAACAGGCAACACAGACTAAGAGACACAGTGACAGTTGATATGTCTGTCTTATGTACTCCTAAGAAAAACCAGTGTTAGCAAAGTAAAAAC